TTATAATGTTGTTAAAATACAAAATAAATCAAAAATTTTATCAAATATTTTACCATTACTTTTTTCCTAAAACTTTTGAGACATACGTTAATAAATGTTGTATCTAACATACTTTCATGAGGTATAGTCACATTATTTTTGTTCTAGCAACAATCAGAAGCGAACATTGACCATCAAGATTGAACTCCTCAAAATAATTTAACTGGAAGGATCATGTTTATGCATACACATAGCAGACAAGCACTAATCATTAGTAGACCACGAATGTGCTCACGGTTAGTATCAGAATCTCATGGTCGAAGTCCCTATCAAAAACGTGGCCACTTCGATGGATCAAAGGCAAAGGTAAAGCAAATACTCTTTAGACTTGGCCCTTCCATGGGCCTTGACAAACCTAAATAAAGAACATTACCTTTTAAAATTGAAGGAAAGATGATATTAAATACGAAATTGCTGAGCTTCTAGAAAGAAATATATTTGATAATGACTAGGCAAAACTAGTTACTGTTAAGTACGGAAGCACCTTAACACTATGGGCCTATAAAACTTTACATTCTGAAGGTGTAACGTGATACTGTTTCCATCAACGTTAACTGTTACGTCAACTACCAACAGGATTAGCAGCCATGTTGCCAACTACGGTCGCTATCGGCTCTCGATTATTTTTATATTTTAAGTCTATAGCAGTTCGATAGTACACTAGCTGGTCACTTAGGTATTTGTATTTATCGACGTATGTTATCAGTCATTTATGTATTTCTACCTATATTTAATCGATGTGTGTTCGGTATGTGTTTGTGACGTATCTGTGTACTTGCACATGAAAGTACTTTTTTCTACACCCGTATTATAATAATGCACTTATATGCCCATAATCCGTTTCATAATGATACCCATTATGATACAGATTTTTCATTACGATACAGATTTTTAATCAATAGAAACCTACAATTTTTCAATCAAGCATGCTGTTTAACGTTTGTCCTAGGTTCCTATGTAATTATTTTAGTTGTCAAAACGTATTAAATTTTCGTAGGTAGCTAAACTACGATAATTATAATATTAAAATGTCTGATATTAGCGATATAGAAGACTCCTCCACACATATCGGAGAAAGCAGAAAATACAGTACAAAATATTTTACCGCAAAAATCTAGGGAAATACCAATACCTGAAGTAATACCATTAATTACAATTTTGTAGAATTTTTTATAGAAATACGAGTAATTACTGTTATTGTGTTCAATACCAATATAAATATAATATTTATAGGTCTTGATTATTTATCGGGTGTAGAAAAAATAGCGTATGCAACTCTCATGTAATGGTTATTAAAACACTCGCATAAACCATACGAAACTCGCCTTTGGCTCGTTTCGTATCCCGGTTAATGCTCGTGTATTAATAACCATCATTACATGATCGTTGCATAATATACTATTATTACAGTTCACTGTCAACGGCAACGTGACAGCGATGTTATGGTGGAATATGTCGTGAACTTTCTAAACTCACTATTAGTACCGTTCAGACTACGAACGGTACTAGGCTGACGTAACTGATGACGCAACCTAATCCTGTTGATAACAATAACCGTTGACAAACGACTTACTGATGTGTTACATGACGTGTCTGCGCAGCTGTTGGCAACATTGTGAACGAAAGCCGTCACCTTGATCCGCTTATGAGAACGTGTGGCATGGTTGATTATATTACGAGGTTGGCAGCCCCGTTGCCAATTGACGTTGACGTTGACATCTGACAAATAACGCCTAACGATGCTTTTGCAGTTCAATCTTCGAGCACATATACATGCTCGAAGAGTTCAATAGTGTTCCACAAAGGACTACATTTCCATTTAGCTCATAGTATTTAAATAAAATAAGTAATGTGATTGATTCAGAGGAAGACTCTTATCGATATAACCTTTATTTATTATTATAGTAAATGCTTATAGAACAAATTTTATCAATCATTACACATAAAAATATACGTCATCGACAACATAGCCACTGTTAAGTTATACTGGTAAAACCGAGTTTAACAGATGATTTAACTAAATAATTAGATTATCGTCGTTGGTTTGATTATTCTCTGTTTATAATGTACATTGTACATACAAAGCAGAAATATATCAAAAAGTATGACTAATCGATTGATTATTCAATTATTATGACCTCGATGGTATCAAATGACATACCCTCGATTGATTATAAGATTATAGCGCACTTAAGGACTTGGGAAATTCAATATATTGAATTTAGTTATTAATTAATTATGCATTAGATTCAACGTGAGCCCTATTAAACATTAAAATTCAATTAGGTAAGCTGGATAATTCTTTCTAAACAAAGTAAAGTAGCTATATTTGTTATATTTATTGTCAAAATTTTAAATGTTTATGTTTTGTTTAGAGTTTAGTTTAAATATACTGAATTTATTATGTATTATTTATCATTATCGTATAATTTGTTGTGCTCCATGAAGTTTGGCGTTATCATTTAAATTTTTGAAGTGGTTTTGTGTTTATTAATAAAGGTTTTAGGACACTCAGAAATTCTAGAATACTCTTAGACTATAAAAGCATAAAAACCAACCTCATTGAAATACCAAAAAAACAACATAATAATATTTTAAAACGCACAACGCACGAATACAATTAAAAGATCAATTGATGTAGGTACCTAACACCAAATGGAGTAGTTATATACTGCAGTTAATACCAAAAATATTTGGGATATATCCCTGGACGAAATGAGAAAGAAGTACAGTTTTGTGAAAATTTAGAAAACCACAGAGCTGGGCTGCAAGAAAGAATGAAACCAAAAATCCTTTGTGTTTGCAACCGAAAGGCATTCAATTCAGTGATGTACGGATTGTTCTAAAAACACAGATGAAACTGGAATAGGAGTGTATGGATCTAGAACAAAAAAAATCTGAATTTCACGCTATTGAGAAGTAAATTCAGTTTAACATCGAGAGAAACTATTGCGAACCAGAGATTATCATCATATCTGACAGCCAAGTAGCCATCAAAGTTATGTAAGCTCTTATTTAATCAGCTCAAAAAGGGACTAGAGAAACCTAGAAAAACTAAATTGGCCAGGCAAAGAAAATACAGTTATTCTGACTTAGGTCCCGGGACATAACAGGGTAAAGGGTAAATCAGCTCCGGATCTAGGGGAGGGGCAAGCCGAACCCCGTGCCCCGGGAAGCAAATTCAGAGGGCGGCAAATAGTAAAATAATTTTTTTTCATAAATAGGGTTTTGAAATCAATTCATAGATAATCAAAATTTATTTGAATTCTCTCTGTGCAACACAGGTCAAATGTTTATTGAGTCTTATTACCTGCTTAATCCATAATCGGATAAGTTTTCAATTGCCCAAAATGTTGAGTGATTTTAGAATAAAACGGTATTAGCTTTAAAAATTCCCAAAATTAAATACCTGTTAAGCATGTTAGGCACCTTTCGTACTACCTGTCATAATCCATAATTTTTTTAGTAAGAAATTCTTCTAATGACTTTAGAATGATTCTTGCTTTGGGGAAACAAATATCTGATTTGTGGAACAAAGTTAACTACCTGCAATTAGGATAATACATAAAGGAGTAAAGCTACAATCTAAATTTATTGTGCTTTTCATTTTTGAAAAGTTTCTTCTTGAAGTTATTGGTACTTTGTGTTTACTGAAAGTGTTTTTATTACCTATATATTTTTGTGGATGTTATCTGTGTTCATTGTTACTGTTTTTATTATTATATCTCATATATAGATAGTGAGAAATCAAAAAAGGTAAGGAAAAAGAAAAAATAATTAGACTTATCTGGAGGAATAAAAAAAATTATAGAATCTCATCTCATCACACAATGTCCTCAGCCTGGTCAAGGAAGTTTCTTGAATTTAATTTTGCTTCTCTCCAAAAATAATTCGTAAAATAACTCTTAAGTTTCAATTAGAAAACTTGTCAAAAACAATACAGAATGAAATCATTGACATAATGGCAAATACAGTCAGAAATAGCATTCTAAACGACATCAAAGAAGCCAAATACTATACAATAATGTTCGAATGCACTCCAGATGTGTCGCATACAGAACAAATGAGCCAGGTCCATTTGCTATGTAAAAAAAACTGGTGATCTGTGTGACATAAAAGAAAGTTTTATTGAATTTATAGAAGTTGCTGGAAAGATAGGAGAGCACATTTGTCAACAGATAATGGAAAAGTTGACAGTTGATGGTTTAGATATCAGACAATATCGTGGCCAATCTTATGATAATGGATCAAATATGGCTGGCACCTATAACGGAGTGCAAGCCAGGATTACAGAAAGGAATGAGCTGGCCGAGTTCGTACCGTGTTTGGCTCACTCCTTAATTCTTGTCTGTGTCCATTCTGCCTCATCATGCCAGGAAGCAATAAATCTATTTGGATTAATTCAAAAAGTATTTTGCTTTTTTGTCGGCTCTACTACTCGATGGGATACTATGAAGAAATTTGTTAAAACCAATTTAAAAGGAAGCAGTCAGACGAGGTGGTCGGCAAAACATGTTGCTGTGAAAGCACTCTTAAATAATTTGCCGGAAGTGGCGGAATCCTTAAAAGAACTTAAGCAAACTTCTCATGCTCCGGAAGCAAACTACGAGGCAGGTAGTAGTTTCTTAAATACAATAAAGAATTTTAAATTTATATTGAACTTGACGATTTGGGCAAATATTCTCCGCGAAATCAATCGAGTGAATATTGAAATTCAAAAGCAAGATATAATCCTTGCGCGTTCCGTCTCTTTAATGGATGGCCTGATAAAAACTTTACAGAAAATGAGAGAAAATTCAATTGAATATTGGATAGAAGAGGCTAAAGAAGTTGCTGGAAAAATTGGTGTCGAACCTATTTTACCAAATAAACGAATTTCGAGGTACAAAAAACAATTTGACGAGATGTGTGATGACCAATCACGAACACTTTAACCAGTTCAACTTTTTTCTCAAGCAACAATGATGGTATTTGATAGAATCTTTTCAGAAATTAAAAAGAGGGTTGATAGTGCTACCACGTTGAATATGTCAAATGAAGAACTGCAAAAGCATGAAGCAGATCTGGGACGAAACTACGAGCGAGATTTGAAGGTTGAATTCTGCCAGGAACTCTACGTTTTTAAAGAGCAAGGTCCAATTTCAATCTCTTGCAACAGATTTATACGCATGATTTGTAGGATGTTTTTCCCAATATTTGTATTGCTCTAAGAATTTACTGTATGCTTCCTGCTACATCCGTAAGCTGCGAGAGAAGTTTTAGCAAACTTAAACTTATCAAAAATTATCTACGATCTTCGATGAGCCAGGAACGTTTATCAAGTCTTGCCATATTAGCAATAGAAAATCAAATTGCTTATCAAATTAATTATGATAAGGCCATAGATTTGTTTGCAGAACAAAAGGCTCGAAGAGAAGTTATAATTTCAAAGGGGCTCAAACACCATCTGTGGCACCTGGAACGTTTTGTGGTATCAGTAAATAGTAATATAACGCAATATTAGGTGCGAAAAAAAAATCTAAAATTATAATAATCTCTTAGGGCTAAGATACTTCTGAGTGAATAACTAGAGAAGATTGACAGCATATATCTGTCTGAGTAATGCTTAGTAAAAGGGATATCTTTATTAGGCATTGCCGACTCAAAGAAAACATAAGTACACTGGGCTAATAGAAAACAGAATATCCGAATTATGAAAAAAAAAAAAAAAATTCCCCCCCCCCTTTCCTACACTTATGGTTGAGAAAATTGACCTATCCTTGTGGGATCATAATGGTCTCTCCCAAAGAAGTTTCAGACAATATATACCGTTCCAATTATTAATATTTGTAATAAAATCAATTATTTTGTGGCGGGAGGGGGGGTAGAGGGGGCAGAAGGTAGTAAAATCAGATTACGTCTTACATTTTGGTCCTATATATAATACTGTGGGTGGAGAGAGTAAAGTTGATCAAAAAACTCCAGAACTTACAGGTATACAACTTTTGGGTCTAATTTCTAACTTTCTTTTAAATGAAAGAGAGGGGGTAAGGGGTGGAAGTGGATAATTCTTTGTTTGCCTTAGAGGCCAACCCATTGTACCATAAGTCTAGCGGTTCCATAATCTATATATCGACCTTCCCAAGGGTTGGAGGGAGAATAAAGAGGGGGAGGTTGGGCGGTTTAAAATCATTTTAAACGAGGCCTACGGCTATTAGTATTTTTATTACTTACCATTTAGGCGTAGCAGAGGAAGAGGGGGAAAGTTGAGGGGGTGAGGGGAGAAGATCTGTCCATATAATAATGTATATGTCGGTTCGAAATTAAAAGATGCGCATGTTCGCTATAGGCAAATTTTTTGAATCATTATAATTAATAATTGTCGGTCAATAGATTTCATATATCGAAGCCTGGGCTTGGGCATAGTTGGTATTGATATCACTAAAGCTTGTCAATTACATAAAAAAAAAAGAAAATCGGTTCATAAACAGGAGAGAAAATGGAACTTAACTATTTTGACTTTACCTATTTATAAATAGATTTATTTATATACAGAACAAAACCAAAAAGACGTGAAATATTAACGACAGTATGACAGATGATAGTAACATCTGACGTTGTTGTCATGGTAACGTGCTTTGTGTAGAAACAAATACAAACTTTGTTATCACGACTATCATGAAGCACTCAGAACAAACTAAAATCCAATGAATTTATCTCCAATTAACTAAAAAATGTGTTGGGACATTAATTTATATTCTTATTTTAAGTGCTGGCTCAGCACTGTACAACGAAAAAAAAAGAAAGCGGAAGAATTTTAAATGTTACGTAACTCGTCGGTGGTTTTTGTGGCTAAGTAGGCCGTAAGTCACAAAATTAGGTAATAGGCGACTAGATGGTAGTAAACCAAACACTTTGGGAAACCGAAGATCAGAAAAAGACAGAACAAACGATGCGATGACGAGAAAGATAAAGACGAAGAGAAGGTCATTGTAGTGCGTGGGAGTGACCGGAGAGTATGCCCAGCTTACATATTTTCGGTTCATTCAATAATATCTATCTATAGGGTGTACCTAAAAAGACAAATGTTTTCTTGCAATGCAATGAAAATAGTTCTTAGAAGAGTTAATGCTCGAATAATTATTTGAGAACGGACTATAAAAAATATAAAATGTTAAGTCTGAGTGTACGAATATTGAGAAGGCGTATGATCGGTCAAATTACATTATCTTTTTGATTAGAGTTGTCTATAAAAAAATGGCTGTTATAACACTTTATTGGTTTTCTTCCAAATTAGCAAAGTGGCTCTAACATTTTTAGTTTACAGGATGGTTCTATTTAATTTGTTAGAAAATATCAGAAAGCACTATGTTGTTTTATGAAACTGAATTGTTATATAAAAATAATAACTATTTTATACATTTTAGATAATGAAATCAAATTACTTTTTATTCCATTTATTATTGTTGCTTTGCTCTGTTTTTACAACTCTTTGGTTATACACATATAATTGTTTCTTATGCCCATATTACTACATTAAAAAATGGTTATATAAATATTGTAATGTAGTGCCCAAAAATGTTTGCTATTGTTGAACAAAGCACAATATTGCCCCTTCAAATATATTAATAACAATTAGGTATTAACAGTACACCATATGGTCTCGTGATTCATGTTCAAATAAATTTGTTTTTAAAGTCATATAAAGCAGCAATTTGAAACTAAACGACAAACTACAGAGAATAATGACTAAATCTTGTTTTGTCAAAATAACTTGCACAGTTCAATTGTTGTTGTATTACATTTGTTTTTATCACCTATGATAAAGTTATGAAAACACAATCATAACAAATACAAATAGAATTATGCAGACGCAGAAAGTTCAAGATAAGGTCCCACCAAGAGCTAGCGGCAACAAAACCAGTTCGTTAAAAAAACAATTTTTATTAGCGAACCTAAAAGTGGCGCAGTCAGTAGGATTGCCTAACGGTGTGACAACAAAAATCGTGTCAAATCGATCTATTTTAATTGTTTAACGGCAAATCGAATTCGCGAAATTTGGTAAAATAAACTGACCAAAAAGTGTACCAAGCAACGGACCAATATTTCCGAAGTTTGGAGATCCTGGACGAGGACCACATCACCAAATCCAGCTAGTTTTAAGAAAATTAGGGAGATTTGACAGCATCACTTAACCCTATTGACATAACGGTAAAAATTCCTGGAAATTGCGTTCCTCGCAGCCATTAACTTCACAAACTGCAAACTGACTCAACCAACATTCTATAATATTATTGACAATACTGGATTTATAACTCTTGAATTAGAAAAGACTCAAAACATAATTAACTACTGGTCACTTGTAAGAATTTCCGACATTTTCAAAGTAATTTAAGTCACTATAAGACAAATTTTCCGACCTACAAACGATACCAACAAATATACTTATGAACCAGATCAAGTCAGATTCTGAGGATATCTTTGTAACATTTCAAATAGTAACCATATTATAAATTAGAATTATTACTTAAATTAATCAATTTAAACAAAGCCATTGAGAAAAACGTGACTTCTTAATGGTGTAGGTACAATAATTAGATCAATATCTGGAAATTTAGATTAAAATATGACAAAGACATAGAAAATCTTTCGAAAAATCAAAATAAGATGAAATCTTTAATTATTGAACAAATTACCTTAGTTGAAAATTCTTTAGACATATTTAATAAAAGTAGTCATCAAGTCTTAGCTCACAATCAACTAAAACTAAAATCCCAAATAAACAAAATAGAACATATTTTAAAAACAGCTCAAATCCAAAATAAAAAAAACTTTTGAAAGTATCTATATTCAAAAAATTGAAACTGCTTTCACAGTTTCCAAAATAAATGTTTTCCATAATTAAATAATAGATCCTAAAGATTTGATTAACCATATTAAATTAATTGAGAGTAACTTACTAAACAACAAATTATTATTTAAATCAATTTTAAGCAATATACTTAAATTTGAAAAAATAATGCAAATTAAAAGTTATAGTAAAACTAATAAAAAAAAATGTTCATAGAAATTTCAATTGTGGAGATAGGAAATTACGATCTATATCAACTTTTCACTTTACCTACCTACTCCTAAAAGCAACCTTTACCAAATTCGAAATTCCTTATCCTAAACGAGCACAATTTCATGTCATTTGATTCAGAATGTCAAGAAATTAGTAACCAAGAGGTTATCTGTCACGAATCAGTAACAACTCCATTAGAAGAAGACGCCCCCTGCGAAGTTTTATTGTTAAGGCTTTTCAAGAACCTCATCAACTGCCAAACCATCCTTCTCGACAATGTGGACATAAAAATTCAGAAAATTCGTCAAAATAAATGGATGATGATCATCTCACCTCAAAACACAGTGGCCCAAAGGATATGTGGACAAGACAATGACAATGTCTTATTAGAGGGAACATTTTTATTAGAATGAATTAATAAGTGTAGTGTTAGAATAGGTAAAATAGCAATAAACTGCCAAGAAGTGAATTTAAAATTATAGAACTTCCTCAAGTTATTATTAAAAACTTTAATAATAAAAACCCTATTTACCTTAAACCTATTAAATTGAACAGTATTGATTTGGAACAATTAACCATTCTAAAAGACGAGGCCAGGAAGAAAATCCAGAGGCCAGCCTCAGGATTCTCCTCTAAGGGTGGAAGAGTTATGATAACACAATCATAGCAAATACAAGTAGAAATATGCAGATGCTGCAGGTCCAAAATACGGCCGCACCAAGATCTAGCGGCAAAAAAACTAGTTATTGCACTTATTTGGTAAATAGTTGCCAAGTGCTTGCGTTCTTTCCTCTTGCCAATTGTTTATTATTTATCATTTCGGACGAAAGATAAAAAATTATCTATTGCAAAAAACATGTAGTATTCTAGATACCAATATTTGGATTTTATGGGTCAATGGAAAAAGTGACTTGCTAGTTTAACTAATATTATTTTAGGAAAGTAATCCCCTTGGAACTGTGGTGTCTGACTGTCATAAAAAACAAATACAAAAAAAAGGCGTAGCAAAATTTGTTCTGGACTTAAAATACCCCTTACAGTTTCTACCCCATCAGGTCATAATTCTTGATGTATGCAAAAATATGTCCGATGAGAGCTTTAGCGATTTCTTTATGCTACAGATTTTGTACCCCAAAGTACTATTGCCGTTCCCATTTGAGGTTCATGCAATAGTATAGTATGTGAATAGAAATTTTGCCTTCCTCTTCGCATTTTTGCATAAGGAATCTTCTGATATCCCTAAGAGATTTAGGTGTTATTTAAGGCTACAGTGACCCTTAAAGAATCTTATTACAGTCTAAATTCCAACTACAGCTCATAGTGTTCCATATTCAGCTGTACTTGGTAGCAGGAAGCACCCTTAAGTCGCACCTCAAAGATCATAAACTTGTATTTGCATGCTTGAATTGTCAGCCGGATTTCTTTCGTTTTCTTTTCTTTGTTGTCGCCTAATGTGATAGAGTGTCCATTGTCAAGAGTATACTTAAGTTTGATCTTCATGAATATAAATCAATAAAATACTAAAACTAGAAGATCGATAATACATCAGAAGAAAGGATCTTTATTCCCTTTTTAGAACCATTAACGGGTAGCTATCCAGCAGCTTGCAAAAACAAAATTTTCGTATCAGTATTAGTAAAAAAGAAGCTCCAGTTTCCAGTTTTTAGAACTGATAAAGCGTCTAATTAAAATTCTCCAGAAAAAAAATGTTGTTTATGTGCAAAAATTTAAAATGATTGACTGCCTTTGAAACGGGAAACTATTTTTTTTATTTGAAAATTCAAATGCGCAGGATCAGATTCAAACAAATGTTTCGAGAAAGGACATTTTATTACTTTGAATGTATATATGATAAAACCTTTAGTTTTAGTTATAACTAAATAAGAAATATAAATTAATGGAAGAAAAACAAACTCGAAGCTAATGCAATATTTACAGGATATTTGAATGATTTATTTGTTTCAATTATTAAAGAATTTCACAAGAAATTCCTCAATAAAAAAGCCAATAAAAATAAATATATTTATATAACTTTTTGAAATGAAGATATGCAATTTCTACTTAAGAAATATGGACACCCTGTACTTTGTGTTAATTAAGTGATTTTGTAGAGCTTGGTATGGAGGAATCAAAGCGTAAGGTTATTAGGATATCACTTTAATGGAGCCAGAAGTCAGGACAAGCGTAATCTTGATTTACGAGTTAAAAACATTAAAAAAATTAAAAGCGTGGGAGATTTTTATCAATATACTCTTTTAAGATTATTGTTATTTATTATAATTACATGATACTAATATACAGTTTTGTTGTTTATAACTTTTTCTTCTTTGAAAATATTAAATAAGAAGTGAAAGCTATTTTTTAATGCATTTTTATGAATAATTTGCTGAAGTTTTTTACACTATAAACTAAAACTAGGATTAACATTGATTTGGCAGATCATAAGACTGATATCTATCTCATAGTAAATTAATTTTTTATAGGTTTTAAAAACTTGCGTGCCCTAAGCCAAGCGCGTAGCTAGGTTGTTTTCTTGGGGGGGGTTACACTTTTCACATTATTTGTGAATACGCAGCGTGTCATCTTAGAATATGTTACCAATGTAACGTCTATGGTTCATATGTGTCTTTCCAGAAAAAAGAGTGAGTTTATAATGAAGTTTTTAATTTTTTATATATTTATACAGGGTGTTTCAGAATAAAGTACCATTATTTTGGGGATTTGTAGATCTTAATCAATTATAAATAAAAGCTAAATATAATTTTCCTATGAACGTCCCAGTTTTCGTTCTAAAGGGTGATAAGATAAGGTGAATTTCATAAATACATATTTTGTAAATATTTTCCATTACAGTAAAGTCTTTAACTTAAAAATATGTATATGATAGGTAATCGTTATTATTAGTTACCATACTATTTCTATAAATTACCATAACCCATTGGCGTAGAATGAAGGGCTAAAACTTTTTGAACACCCTACATTTCATAAAACTTAAGATTAATAAATATTTCTCACGCTATTTGTCACAAAAAAGGGACTTGTGGTTGATCTTTGTAGACTATTCCATTTCCGAGGTGATATAATTGATTTATTTTATACAGAGTGTTTTGAAATATGTCTTAAATATGGCTAATTTTAAGTTCAATTTACTCAATTTTGTCAAATGCAACACACTCTATATTATTTTCGCATAAAATTCCTTCTAAATTTACCTATCCAACGATACCAACATGTTCCAATAGTGCGTAATTGATTGAGGTCTATTTTATTATTGGAAATAGGAAAAAAATTAATATAAAAGTTGTATAACCATGTTTAACAAATATTCTTAAATATACAGGGTAGTCCATAGACGAGGAGCTGACCAAACTTATACATTTTTATATTTGTTTTCACATCGTCAAACAACTTTATTAGACTTCATTTATTTGCTATGTTGTATATAGGGTGTTTCAAAATGAGGGGTGGGGATTTTCTCATTTTTTTAAATGAAATACCACATATGTCATACAACCAATTAATTAATACAGATTATTTCATTTAAAAAAATTGAGAAAATCGTAACCTCACGTTAAGACACACCCTATATACAACGTGGCAAATGAATGAAGTCAATTAAAATTGTTTGACGATGTAAAAACGATCAAATATGTATTATTACCTGCAGGGTGTTTTTCTTTAAAAAAGTATAGATTTGGTCAGCACCTCGTTTATGGACCACCCTGTATATTTAAGAATATTTATTAAACATGGTCATACAACTTTTATATTAATTTGTTTTTCCTATTTGTTAAATATGGTCATACAACTTGTATATAAACATTTCTTCGTATTTCTAATAATAAAAGCTATTGATCACTTATGCACTGATGGGGCACCCTGCATATGTATTATTGACTAACACATTGGTATTGTTACATGGGTCAATTTGTAGGGAATTTTATACCAAGATAATATACAGTGTGTGACGCTTGAAAAAACTGAGTAAATTGAACTTAATATTAGCCATATTTAAGACATGATTTAAAACACTTTGTATAGAATAAACCAGTTGTATCACCTCTATTCGTTAACTTAGTATTTTATAAGTCTATATATTAAACAATTTTGAAATTAATGTAAACCTACCTAAATTATGATAATTTAATTTGGGGTCTGCATCATTCTCTAATTTAAAAAAAAAATGATAAATTGTTTGGCAACTTTGTAATATTTTTAAAAACATTTTAAATACAGTATTCCCAAGCCATTCTAAAAATAAAATAAAATATAGGGTGTTCTATTTAAAAAACATACATTTTTATTTGTCAGACAAAAACGCAACACCCTGTATATCCAAAAATATTTTTAAAATATGTATTTTTCAAATCCATATAATTTTTATTGAAACTTGTTTGTTGTCAATAACGCAAATTGAAATATTGAACAATTACGAACAATGTTTGAGAAACTCTTTGTTTTTTTGTATTTATTTTATCTCTCTATTTTTGTTTAATATAACGTTTTAAAAAAAATTGATGTTGACTATGGCTTGGGGGTAATTACCCATACTTCCTCTTCCCCCCCTTACCCTAAGCCATATTACATACATGGATGGATGGATGGATGGATGGATGGATTCTGCATAGAATTATGTAGGGTCAGTTGAGGTAGATTAGATTAGATTAGGAGTTGGACGTTATTTGTCCTTGTCCACCGCGACCTTTTCAGGTCTATTGTGGGACTCCGTTTGTTTTAGAGTATGTCGTCTAGCCTGGTCTTTTTTATTAGACTTAGTAGCTTTGACAGTGGCTCCCGCATGTAGTTGCATGCAATTGGCTTTTCTTCGCCCAATGTTAGAAACCTCATTCCAACCAAGCCTTCACATTGGCACAGGACGTGGAATGATGTTTCCTCTTCTTCTTCACAGAACCTGCACAAAGTTGCTTCTTCTGCTGAATTTATGACACTTATGTGCCTTTGGAGGCGACAGTGTCCAGTAAGAAGGCCTACTGTTATCCTAACGATTTGACGTTTTTGATCCAGTAGGTCTTTCGTAAACTTGGCCGATGGTTCCTTGATGAACTGTTTGGCCTGTCTCAGTCTTGGATAGTTGTTCCACCATTCCTGAGACTCTTTTTGCATCCATTGTTTAACGAATGCCTTGCACAATGCCTTAGCAACTCCACAGAAGGGTTTAGGGCCTGTCATGGCCTTATCTGAGCCTTCTCGGGCTAATTCGTCGGCCTTTTTATTGCCCTGATATCCCTCATGGTTTAGAACCCAGGCTAAGGTCACCTTATTTTGACTACTTAGCTCTGTCAGGTCTTCTAGACAGTCTTTCACCAGTCGTGATTTGATTTCTGGTGAGAGAATTGCCTTTAGAGCTGCTTGGCTATCAGAGTATATGGCAATAGTTTTGCCTGATACGTGC